AAAAAAAAAAAAAAAAAAGATCTCTTAAAATGTGTAGACATTATTTTGGGTTTTTGGGCACTCCTTGGTATGTGAGGAATAAACTGTAAGCTAGAAGTAGGAACAGAGTGCCTAGGAAAGGAAGTGATGGATCTGACAGAGTGGGAGATGGCTTCATGGAGGAGGTGATATTTGAGCTGGGCCTTGAAAGCTAAGAAGTATTTCGACCGTGGTTGTCCAGGTAGATAATGTTATGAACAAGGTCACACAGGTGAGAAAGCATATGATGTGTTCCAGAAAGTAGTCACCTGACATATATTTGGATTATGAATGTCAAGGCATGGCCTAGTGTGCTTGGCTTTCAGTCCTTGGATAAGGCTGTAGAAGGTATAAACGGAATCCTCAGATGGTCTCTCCAGACTTTTGAAAATTGACAATAGATTCCTAGCCTTTAAATGTACTGGTTTTGGAGGTTTCTGTGAACTGTGATGCCATGGCACTTTACCCAGGGTGGCAGCTTGAGGCTCTGTCTCAAAAAAGAAAAAAATAAATAAATGTACTAGTTTTACTTAGATAAAGCTAATTTACATTGGCATAAAGTATTAGATGAATGAGAGTGATTCCCAATTGCAGTAGTACCTTTTTTTCTTTCTTAGTTTCTTACCCTCATCCCCATCCCAAATCTTAGGTTTCTCTTACGTACCAGCCCTGTCCTGCCATTCCTTGTGGGAAGTTGTGAGGTAAGGAACCTGACATCAAGAGAGGGATATGGTATGAAAAGAATGGGGGTGTCCCTGAAGGCTTGGTTTGCTGTGGGAAGAGGCAGGAAAGTGTGGCAGTGAGTGTAGGTAAAAGTGTTGGAGGGGGGCGTTGGTATTAGATCTTCTTGGTAAATATGCCCATTTATCTTTGATATCACTTTGATGATAGAAGTGATCACAGTATTAATCCTACTGGCTAGAATTGATTAATGTGAATTGTTTTAGCATTATTTCATTTTATTTTTCTTTCTTTATTTTTTGAGACAGTCTCACTATGTTGCCCTCAGTAGAGTGTGGTGCTGTCACAGCTCATAGCAACCTTAAACTGTTGGGCTTAAGCAATTCTCTTGCCTCAGCCTGCCAAGGAGCTGGGACTATAGGCACCCACCACAATGCCTGGCTATTTTTTTTTTGTTTGTTTAGCAGGCCTGGGCCAGGTTTGAACCCATCAGCCCTGGTGCATGTGGCTGGCGCCCTAACCATGGGTGCTGCCCAAATCCTGGCTATTTTTAGAGATGACGTCTCACTCTTGCTCAGGCTGATGTAGAACCTGTGAGCTCAGGCAGTCCAGCTACCTTGGCCTCCCAAGTGCTGGGATTATAGGCGTGAGCCACCATGCCCAGCCAATGTTGAGAGCCAGATGAAAAACTGAAGTTCGTTTATTTATTACACTCATTCATTCAACCATTTGTACCATGTTTCCCCCAAAATAAGACCTACCCCCCAAAATAAGCCCTAGCAGGATTTCTATGCACTTGTTAAGTATAAGTCCTACTCTGATAATAAGACCTAGTGATGGGCGTGGCTATGCAGATATGCTGCATAGTATTTTGGCACGGAGAGGAAGACACCCCCTGAAAATAAGCCGTAGTGTGTCTTCATGAGAAAAAATAAATGTAAGACAGTGTCTTATTTTTTGGGAAACACATGTTTTTGGGGAAACACGGTATTGAGCACATGCTGAACTGGGCACTGTGAATGATTCCAAGTTGCCTAAGATATGGGATAAATTCTATGTGCATGTAACCAGAATGTCCAGAGGAGATATATAAATAGTCATAGAAGGGGAGAGCCAGGAGTGAGTGCTTCCAGCTCTGGAGACTCTGAGGCAGCCTTGTGGAGGCCGTGTGATTTGATTTTGGTCTCAAGAGGGAGGAGAGGAGGAAGACAGTTTAACCTGAGAAGCGGAATCTGTACCATGCAAGGTTCTCAAGGTCAGTCCAGGGCTGAGAAGTGTCCACTTGCAGGTGGGACCGGGGGCTGTCCCCCATGTGGAGGAGTGTTGTGAAACACAGCTGAAGGGAGAATTGGGGCAGTCTGTGGAGAGCATCCTGTTGGGCTATGGAGGGGAGACAGGCTTTGTCAGACAGTGGACAGTGGTGAGGATTTTGCAGCTGGGGAGAGAGTTACACCTTAATAGACTGTTTTTTGAGGTGACTTTTGTATATGGATTGAGTTGACAGGCAGACAGTTGAAGAATTGAAGCAGCTTTCAAGTGTCTGGATGTTACTTAAGATCTTAACTAGGTTAGTGGCTAGGTGGAAATGAGAGAGCTCCACGGGCTTGGTGTCTGAGTGGTTGTCAGGCTGGAGTTTGCTTTCTTCTTTCGGATACTTGTGGAACGCTTGTTGTGTGTCCAGCTACTCCTGATGCCCTCCTCACAGCAGTGAAGTGTGGGCATAATTGTCATGCTCATTTACCAGATGAGGAAACTGAGGCTCGCAGTGGCAAAGAGAAATCGTTGTTGCCTTCCACCTGCACCACTGCCCTTCCCGTGTAGGCCTCGTTCCCACTCAGGTTCTCTCAGTGACCTCTCAGTTTTCCTTCAGCAGCGTCTCCCCCATTTGCCCTCTCTGATCTCTGCCTGCTGCTACCGCCTTTGTTCAGGTCCTCATCTCTTTATGACCTGGCAACTGTTGTGACCCCCTCTAGCCATCATTTGGGGGTCTAGAATTACAGTACAATCCCTGTAAGTTGACCACCCACGGGACTGTAACAAACTGGCCAATGTACAGAGTGGTCAACAGAAGGAACTAGGCCTACTGTACTGATGGGTACATGTGGTGCATGCCTGGTCTATGAAAATTAGGTCAACTTAAGGAAGTGGTCAGTGTAGAGAGGTGGTCAGCTATGGAGATTCTACTGTTTTATCTAGAGGTAAATTGGATGATGTCTATGTGTATGTGCCAAAAAGATGCTTCATCATTGCCTCTGGGTGGAGTGTCTCACTCAAGGCTCTTCCTGTCTTCTGGTCCTTTATAGATTTGGTTTGTCCCCTGCCCCTAAATACCATATTTCTGTTTGGCCCTGTGCTTCCCTGAGTCCTTTCTCTGTTGGAAGTGCCCTTCCTCGTCATTGTGGATTTCTCACCATTCTTCAGGAACTGTCACTAGCTTTTTATTCTTTATTGGGCAGTAGCATGTTTTATATTTTATTTAATTACTTATCCAATAACACAGCCTTTTCAAAATTGATTTCTGGCAACTTACAAGAATACATGTAGCCATAAAAAACAAATGGAAGAGCATATGAGAGTGAGTGGGCTACTAGGGTAGAGAAATAAAGTCAAGAATAAAATTAGTGCAGAAATACATCATGCTCTGCATGTTGCGGGAAGTGGACTCAGCTTTTACTTTCAACTTCCTAGTCACAGCCAAGAGAGATGCAGCATGAAATATTAAGAGTTTCCCCAGTGGGGTGGCCCCTGTGGCTCAGTGAGTAAGGCACTGGGCCCATATACTGAGGGTGGTGGGTTCGAACCTGGCCCCGGCCAAACTGTAACAAAAAATAGCTGAGCATTGTGGCAGGCACCTGTAGTCACAGCTACTTGGGAGGCTGAGGCAAGAGAATCACGTAAGCCCAAGAGCTGGAGGTTACTGTGAGCTGTGACATTACAGTACTCTAAGAAGGGCAGCAAAGTGAGACTCTGTCTCTAAAAAAAAAAAAAAGTTTCCCCAGTGCCAGTCAAATATAAAGCCCCAGAAGAAGAGCTTTTGTTGTTAATGAGAATTGAGAGAATAGTTTCTGTGGTAAGTGGGAGGGTGGAAATGGTACTAAGTCTTCAGTCTGAATGCACGTGTGGTGGTAGGTTTAGTGACGCAGCTTACTGTGAGACCTCAGTGCAGCTGTAGCATGGCACCAGAGCACAGTTTCCTCAAAGCAGGTTT